TATTCCAAATTCCGAATTTCATATATCAACTTCCAAATTTTGCATTTCATATTTCAAATACTGTCAGTCAGTTTTCCATTTCTAACTTCTAAAATCTGTATTCCAAATTGCGCAATTCGAATTCCTTATTTCAAATTCCATATTCTGACGTATCTCCATGTAATTCTGAATTCCAAATCCTGTATTCTAAATTCAGAATCCCCTATTCCAATTTCCGTATTTTGAATTCTGAATTCCAAATTCCGGAGTCCGTGTTCCATATTTTGTATTCTAAATTCCAAATTCCATAGTCCATATACCAAATTTCAAATTCCGCCCCTTCCTCACCAATGAAACTGCAAAATTACTTATCCACTCGCTTGTTATATATCTTCTTGACTACTGCAACTCCCTTCTCATTGGCCTACCTCTACACAGGTTATCCCCCCTTAAATCGATCATGAATGCTGCTGCTAGACTCATTCACCTAACCAACCGCTCAGTGTCTGCAGCCACCCTCTGCCAATCCCTCCACTAGGCTTCCAATAGCCCAACAGATAAAATTCAAAATCTGAATTCCAATTCCCAATTTGTATACTGAATTCCAAATTCTTAATCCCCAATTCCGCATTCCAAATAGCGAATTCCACATTCTGTATTCCAAATTCCATATTCTGAATTCCAAATACCAAATTCTGTATTACAAATTCTATAGTCTGAAATCGAGTTCTAAATTGCAGTTTTAGAATTTAAATGTTTTCTATTTTCAACTAAGTTTGATACTAATTTTCAAAAAAGAGGAACATACATACAATATGAAAATGAATAGACACAAAGAACAGAAAGACCAAGGGTGATCACTTTATAGGTGTACAGTATAGTCTGACTAAACAATAATATGATGTATTTTTCCCTATTAATGAAAGAAAGGTGGTTCTTTTCTCAGGAAGCCAGCTAGGCACGTAAACCACGCTAATGATCAAAATTACAGGATGGGTGATATTTTGGATGTTGTTGCATGACCTAATTTCCAATTCTGTATTCAAAGTTCAGAATTCTGTATTCCAAACTTTAAATCCTGATTTTCCAATTCTATATTCTAAATGTCAATTTCTGAAATCGTATTTCCATATTTCAAATTCTGAATTTTGTATTCCAAATGTTATATTTCATATTCAGAATTCCATATACCGGGCTAAGAAATGGGCAGATTGGGAATATAAATAAAAGGGCTAGTGAATTCACAAATGACAAAACGCATAGGAGGATATGATGTTGACATTACTACGCAGACCAGGAAGTGCGGAAGACCCTGTAGCGGTTCTTTGTATGACAACTTGAGTGGTGCGGCTAAGCAACTTTTCATGTGAGTGATTATATTACTGATTTTAATAAAGTTGGTTATGGATTTACACTATGGGATCTCTTGATATATTTTTCCCCTTAGATATGTCAGAGTAGAACATTATTTATGGGAAATAAGTTTTGGAGCTATCTGAAGTCTATAGGTGATTGAATCACCTGGAAATAGCAGTGTGGTCAATTTTAATGCTCATGAGGTAAGGAGTATTATCTGGCAGAGGTGGGGAGGGATCGAGGTATATACTAGAGAGCAGGGACGTGCGGTCAGGGGAGGCAGGTGAGGCAGAGCCTCACCTAGTATTATGCAGGAAAAAGCTGTCAGCTTCACGTCTAAAGCTGACAGCTTTTTTTCCATTCTAATCGGCTTGTTACAGGTTACACAGCAGGGAAAGCCTCCCCCCATGTAACCTGTCATGGTTGGACCGATGCCTGTTAATTACAGGCAGCGCTGCATACGGCTTTTGACAGGTAGTTAGGTTACACAGCAGCGGACTTCCCCACTGCTTGTGTAACCTAACTTGGTGAGGCAAGAGCTGTCACAGCCTCTACTCTGTGCTAGAGGCGTGTGCTCTGTTGATTGCTTGGACTAATAGCAAAGTGCCATTGGTCCAAGCTGTCCAATCAAAGAAAGAAACAGTGAGGACATCGATCTCTATGCCTCACCAGTGACAAGCAAGTAAGGGACAGGGAGGCTCCTCCATGTCTCCTCCCCTCCTCCTCCCCACACAGCTTGGTTACCGAGCTGGGGGCAGGGCTTCAGCGGGATGGGAGCGGAGCTTTGGCGGGATGGGGCAGAGATTTACCCAGCTTGACCCAGGAGGATGCTTCACCCAGCACAGAAGGCACGGCACGTCACTGCTAGAGAGCCATATTTGACCATTAATTATATATGAGTCACCGCATTTGCTGAGTGGATCTTGAGGATATTGGAACATGTGGAAGGGAGTGAAAATTGTCACTTGCACATTGATGGGCACATTGTGTATATACTATAACACTGAAGTGGATGTTTTTCTGGGAGCATGCTGATGGACCCCTATGAACATTTCCATTATTATGTATAGTTTTACTATTATGGTCATATGATAATGTATGTTTTTTGATCACCTTATGTGTTTGTTATATTTTGATACAGTTATTATTGTAGGTTGATGGGATAGAGACATTTATGCATTTGAGCGCAGTACTGCTGCTCATGAAGTCTTTGCTCTCTCATGGACCTACAAAACCACTAGGATCTTCAGCATCTGACACTTTAAGGTTTGTCTTACACCTGGTACCACCCACCAGCCGCTACATCACGAAAGCACAGCAGGAAGATGCAGACATTTGACTGCTTAAGGTCCTAGCTCTGCAAGACAGTAAAGGTTGAATTCACCAGTGACAGTACTGATAAATGTTTACCAGAGACCCTGTTAGGTTACCTGTAAGGTAATGACAATATCTCTTTAAATGTACATCTAAAAACATTTATATGTTTTTTCATTTCCTTTAACCACTTGAGTCCCAGGTCATGGAGATAGCGACTATATGTTTCAGCACTGGTTTAAAAAAGTACTCAGACTCTGTGGCTCCTGCATGCCTCCTGTTGGCACTAGCTAGAATCACTGGCTCTCAGTTACAGTCAGGGTCTAGGACTAAGCCCAGGAGTGGAAACCATCAGTTCCTAGGCTTCTGATCCTTACAGATTGCACAACAGGAACATACTGTAGAAGAGAATCTAGAGTGTAGCAACATTACAAGTGACCTCATGGCACTTCCTCTGAGTACAAAGGTTTAGCTTAGGAAGAGCTGTTGCAGCCTCTCCTTTCAGTGGTAGATCACTGCTATAGTGATCTATTACTGTCTGATTGCAGCCAACAATAGATCACTATTTGAAGTGATCTGTAGCTGCATAGCTGAATGGGGGAGCTGGATCAGGTTTCCACTGACCCCCCCCAATGAAGAAGAAAAAAACATCTGAAAAGTGTACAAAATTGAAATAAATTGTGTGTGTGTGTGTGTGTGTACATATATAAATATATATCCTAAGGATAAATAAAAATATTCCCTCCCCATATTAATTTCCACGTGTTAACCTGTGAAAAGTCACTGTTGTTGTAATGTGTGCCCTCATAAACCCAATTCAATCTTACCTTCATGTTATGCTAACAATATACACAAAGGATGTAGCATTGAAAGGACAATAAAGCTCCCGTAAAGTAAAATGCATACACGTTTACTTTGAGCTTTACTATTATGCTGCATTACATAAAAGTTACACTAATGTGAAATAATTTTTATAAGCAGATTTTTTAAATTATATTTTGGAGTAATTATATGGAGGTGCACAAATTATGTAAAAGTTGTGCTGGGGAAAATTGCAGAAAAAAAATCATTTTGTTCTAATTTTGTATTTACACCCAATAAAAACCAAATAAATATAAATGTATATATCCAAATCTGCTACCAAAATAAACTTCTATCTGCACTGAAAACAGGTATTGTATAATATATTATGGTGGACCACAAACACTAAAAGGCATAATGTGCCAAACTGAAACATCACTGAAACAGAAATGCTCTGGGACTCAATTGATTAACTGAATAGGTGACAACTGCAAACCTCCTTGCTTTTGTTGCTTCTTCAGTTATGTTATATCTAAACCATGTCTGAAGAAGAGATTTAAGCCATTTCAAAAGCTTACAATTGTAACTACTCAAATAAAAGAGGTATAACTTTTAATCCTACATTTTCCAGCTTCTATCAGTGGCTAACACAATACAACTCTCCACTACTTTTCATCAGAGAATATGATTTTATAGCTTTAGGAAAGATACAGGTAAAACTAATGTTATTGCTTGATGCAACCTTAAAGTTTTTTCATAGATATATGCTGTATTTATATGAAAATTGTGTATAGTATATAAAGTGTAAACATACCTGTAAACGATAAACCCAAGCCTATAATAATTGGTTATAGTAACAAATGTATTGTATAACCTGAACGAATAGTTGCTAAGTAACTGATTTGAACTTTTACAGCTTTAGCTAATACAGAAAAGCTCTTGCACATTTTTTCACAGTAGTTGGCTGGCAATATTTGTTTTCATTATTACACGGGAGAGGCCAGCTTTATCAGGCCTGTCAATTGTCATATAATATAAATCAATTAAATTGATGCTGTTCTACAGGATTGAAATCACATCTAAAATGATTAATGGACTTCAGTATATTAAAATTATTGCAGCAAATTAAATTAGGAATATTGACTTGAACTGATTGAAGAGCTCCAGGTTCACATTAACTTTTGTTAGTAAAACCAGATGACTTTTGGAACACTTATTTTTGGAATCAGAACTGTCTTCAGTTTAATTTATAGGTCAGGAAGACAGGAAAGATTCCCCTCCACACCCCTTTTTTACCTTCTACCACTATTACCTCCTTTTTTTTAAACATAAGCTCACATGAGAACCTTTTATACCAGTATACTATGCACAAATATTTGTGCTCTTCAGCCATATAAAAGCTAGGAATACATTTTCTATTTGTGCAGAAAAATGCAAACAATGTTTGTAATGCCAAGTAATCATTTTATTTGTAGATAATTTGTAATAAATTATACATAATATTTGAATGAAAGGACAGAAAATGTAAATTAAAAAAAAAGAATTCCAAACACCTGTATCCAACGAATATAAAGTTGCTAAAGTTAGTTATAGACTATATCCTGCACACAGTGGAACGGAGCTGACCAAACTTCTGGTGGAAATCCCCCTGAGCTTGTATCATAGCTTCTTCATCTATGTAAACAGCTGGTCTTCGCGAAGCAAGAAAGTACTGCACTTTTCTGAGGCTCCAGCCAATGACATACATGAGAAATCCACACACTGCAGCTGTAGATCTGCCAACACCAGCATTGCAATGAACATAAACTGTGTGGCCATTTTCTAACAGACCAAATAAGAGGTATACAGCCTGTGGAAGCATCCGCACTCTCCCTAAAGAAAACAGCAAAAACATAGATTATGTACAAAGCTAACAATGCTGGAATTACTTTATCATAACTGAATTTATCTATGTTTTGTTTTGAATTATTTAGAATAGAGTAAGTATAACTTGCAGGATATTAACAAATTGTTTAGCACATCCCAATGCAGATGAAAGGTTAAAACTTTATTAATCCTTAAAAAACATTGCTGCAAAGATGCATTCCGTTTCACTGCTCCCAGCAGGCTAAATCATTCCCATCCAGCTGGGTCTTGTACAATATCCAAAACACTACCAGAAATCAAATTTAGTTAGACACAGATTACAGGAGAAACATTTTATACTTCCATTAATTAAAAATAACATTCAGCTCACATCTATAGGTCGAACTCCATCCATATACACAGTAACCACTATAAAGAGTACTAAAACATAAAAGAAATCCTTTGATATAAATTAGAAAATAAACCTTTATCCCCAACCATAGTTTAATCCCAATAGTCTTAATGTCCCTAAATGAAAAATCAAGTAAGCCTCTCTAGCCAGGTACCTCATGTGTTCTCCAGCAGTGTTTTAAATGGTGAATTTACACTAGGCCCCCATTGGGGTCTGGTATGGATTTGAAAGGGAACCCCACACAAAAAATACACATGGGGTCCCCCAGACACTCATAGTACTCATTTACAAAAAAGTGTAAGTGTAAATTAGGACACCACACTTTTTGAAAGTCCTGTATTTAAAAAAACAAATAACACCCATGTTGCATATTCTTCATCAGTCACTCCATCCATCAGATTTACATTAATCATGGTGAGTAATGCACACTAACCACCGGCCCTACTCTTTTGTATACTTTCAGGTAAGAGTGCAAGGGGCCTGATGGAGAACTCTGAAAAAGCTAGTTACAGCAGGCAGTGGGTGGAATAGAATCTGCCCATAGCCTGCTGTAAGTCGCAAGGGAGCAGGACCTGATGGGGAACTTGTTTATCAGAGTTACCCAGCATGCCCCACCCACTGTTAGCATCATTGGTTGCTAAGAGGCTGCCTGAATGCACTGTCGGAAAGTTTTAATATAATGTCAAAGTAGAGTGCACAACATTTTTTTTAATTCAAAATACCACATTTCCTGAACCCCCTCTCATCCATAGATCTCCAATTATTCCTAAAATATTCAAAATACATATTTCAGGTATGGTAGAAATTGGCTAGCATCAGGACAGTACACAAGCAAATTGAAAGAGCTTTGCATTGTGGGCTTTTTTTTACCATATCTGCTGCAGGTTTTAATCAAGTAATCACATTTAGAGTGTATTATTTCACAGAAAAAAAAACAGAAATATGTAACTGACTCTTTGTACACTATGTAAGCAGTTTATACCTGGCCACAGTTTCACAGGGTGAGACTAAGCAAGTTTATTATCAAGATATCAAAATTAGAATGTATTTTTTTATAGAAGAAACCCAGAAATATTGTACTGACTTCATGCATACTATGTAAACACTTTTACTAGGCTGCAGATGAGCATGAAGACAACAGGCAGGTTTTAATAAAGAGAGAAAAATTAGAGTCCATTATTTCACAGAAAAAAGGCAGGAATAATGTCTATGCACACTTTTTAAACAGGTTTTTACTAGGACCCAGTTTCAGAGGGATGTAACCAAAATTATAGTGCATTTTAAAATTTATTTACAGATATTTGTATAGCGAGGTCAATTTTACTAGGACCCAGTTTCAGAGGGAGTCACCAGACAGCTTAAACTTGTATTCAATTCTTTACGCACTGCTTTACATACTGAACATTCACATCAGTTCCTTCCCTCAAGGAGCTTACAATCTAAGGTCCCTATCTCACATGCAAACATACACACACACACACTACTAGGCCTATGAGCTGTGAGCACAAAGGGGTACACAATAATGATGTGATGTAATATATGGCGGGCTTATATATATATATAAATACCCAAATATATATTTATGTGCGTTGTGAAAATCCAGGCAACCTCAGCTTTTTTTCCAGAGTGTAGCATTTAATCCAACAAAAGCACATGAACAGGAACAGTCCAACAGAGTAATACAGAGTAATAATAAAATAAAGTAAAATAATGAAGATTCCCAGTGAGTACCCTTCTCTATACCATCTCTCTCTTTCTCTTTCCCCTACCCAATTTCAGTCTCTCCTTGATATACCCATTTTCCTCATTCACTAAAATGTGGAAGAAGCTGATTGGTTGACCAGAGAAAAACTTTTGATCTTATTGTTACCAAACAGATCCTTGATTCCCATCTACCCTGGAACAATTGCATTTCCTTTTAAATGCTATCAGCTGTCATTTCCCCGATGGTTTAAAACCAATCGGGGAAACCCGGGCCCAGTCATTGTTGTGTGGCCCTGTACCCCATAAACTAGCGCTAGTGAAACGTTTCTGGACCAGCCGTCTAGTCTGCACTACCCTTTTCTGATGCTAGAGGGCAGTAGCCTCCTGTCCATATGTGCAGCAAAGATCTCTGCAGCCCGGGATGTCACCTCCCACTCAACAGAGGAGGACAATAGCATTTGCACACCCTGCTTCATGGTCCTGCCCTCCTCCCTCCATGGCTGCAGTCTCATCCTCCCCCTGTCCAAGGTGAGTCCACATGGCTGTTGGGTTGGGCTTCTATCTGGGGGGGTGGGGGGAGGGGGTCGGGTTAGGTGTGACACTGCTGGGCTATGATGGAATGCTATATAAAAATAATAATGACACCTGAGCATGTCCCCCAGTGTCATTATTATTATGTCCCCCAGTGTCATTATTATTATTATGCCCCCCAGTGTCATTATTATTATTATGTCCCCCAGTGTCATTATTATTATTATGCCCCCCAGTGTTATTATTATTATTATGTCCCCGCAGTGTCATTATTATTATGTCCCTCCTGTGTCATTATTATTATGTCCCCAGTGTCATTATTATTATGTCCCCAGTGTCATTATTATTATTATTATGTCCCCCCAGTGTCATTATTATTATGTCCCCACAGTGTCATTATTATTATTAGTATGTCCCCCCAGTGGCATTATTATTATTATTATTTATTATGTCCCC